TATTGTGTATATCGTTATATGCATTTAAAGTGGTTTACAGCCGGCAAGATGTAGGCGTTTGGCTGGCCTAGGCATCATATACTACTGTTTGTCTGTCTTTCTTAGTTTGTATACGTTCCTGGAAGTCTTTCTGCTCGATCGCACACGACAAATAAGGTACGTAATATCAACTACGATTGGAATCCCTGAATATTGTGTGGGTCTATTTTTTATCTCTCTGGTAAACAACCTTTGTCCAAGGAAAAATTTACGTCTGATTGTGGTATGCAGTAAGGTTTATGCATACAACCTGGACGCAAAACAGATTTGATTAGAAAATAAAATATCATAAGTAGTGAAATGCGAAGTTTTCTGCTGGCGGCTACTTGTAGATAGTAATTTGGAATCAAAATCACACTGCAAGAAGGAATTCAATATACCACAGGTAGCATGAGTACTGGTGAGGGTGTGTAGCATGTTGCTTTCATCTGAGATATGCTCGTGCGTTTACCAATTGGCTAATACCAATTGCCACTAAATATATGCATGTTGTACCATCGTACAACAGAATCAATCTGTTCATGGCAAGATTGCACGTCTCAACCTTAATTATGTCTCTGTCTGCAGACGAGAAGGAGAGTGTGATGCATATGTCCGCAGCAATGGAAAGACAGGTAACGCTTGTGTGTGCTGGAGGGGAAGATACCAGACCAGACACATACGGATGTGACTACGTGTACAATATGCAGAGATATGAAGACGACACATCGGAGAAGACTCCACAAACCTATGAAATAGTTACATCCATAAGTACAGGTACGGCTAAGGCCAAGAAGTTCGAGTTCATGACTCAGAACAGCGCGAACTCTAGCTACACCTCAAATTCTATTTATAGCATGCGTGAGGGGATTGGCAATGAGGTTGCGATGGAGAGCGGATCGTACACAGACATCAGCATAGATACACGCGACAGTGGTAATCGCGACACAGCGCATGCCATCCAGTACAAGACACACAACAGTAACGAGACGAGTGCAGAGGAAATGCGAGCACCTTGTTGGGGGGGGAAGGATGGCTGTGACACACACACACCCATGAAAGAAAAGGGAAATACGAAGACGCAGGTGCACACACAAGTTGGGGATTGGGATAGTACGGGGTCAGCGGAGGCTCGGCGAGGGGTGAGTATGAGAGCGGGGAAGAACAAAGGAATGCAGACACACACACACAACAAGTCCAAAGGCAAGGACAAAGCACCGTGCAATGAGATGGACAATGTTGAGATGTTGCAATCCACAGACACATCGCAGGGCAATAACAAACCGATACACAGGCGAAAGAACTCGTTCATCGTATCAGCCATAAAGCGCATGGGACGCAATGGCAAGGCAAAGACGAACGATGGAGAGGAGGCTGTGGAGATTAAGGACTATCTAGTATGTAGAAAATAGGGGGTTATCTGGTATGTAGAAAGTAGGGGGTGACATGTGAATGTGGATAATTGGCATTCATAAACCCTCTTTGACGAGGTAAGTATGCCAGCAGAGTATGGTATTAGTTGAAACAGGCCGTTTGTTCTACTCGTGTATGCATGTGTGCGCCAGATACGGTAGACTTATACATCCGTGCTCGTATCTGTGGCAATTGGATAGATACCACAGACATCCACTACCTATATGTTTTGATGTACAGAATATGAAGCTATTCTCTCCTGCACGCTAATACCAAATATGTATTTATGTATATATTCAAGTGGGGTTTTGGGATGGTGTCATATCCTAACGCTGGAAACATACACATCTGCTCTCAGGGAATCGTAAAAGTGAAACATCTCGACATAGCAACAAATGTGGAGATAGAAGATTCGATAGTCAAATTGGGAATCCTACATGTCGAGCAGGTAAGTTTTAAATAAAAATTTGGCTATTCTAATGACAAGTTCGAAAATTCTTTAGTATACCCTCGCCGTGTAAATATCCAATTGCCAGCGATGTAGACAAATTGATTTACGATATATGTATGTATACGTGTATATGCTCAAAGTAAACTGCGTCACGCTTGCGTATATATATTCTCAGCACAGATTCAGCTAGTAACATCTTCATATAACTATATGTGGGTGCATGCATAAATAATTAATTCCGTATGTTTTCAGATACACTTTATATTTTTGTCATCATAATGGCATGGCTTTTTATTTAAGCACATTCAGGCAAATCTGTAATACTACAAAAGCCTTGCGTTAATTTGTAAAATATAATTCTTATGAGCAATTGTTTATGTGTATATACTTTTATTGGCGTACCGATTTGAAATCAAAGGCATCTATACGTATAATAGTGAACAAATACACTCTTAACTGCTTTATTACTTTAGACTGGCACGGTACATGGCTATTAGATAGTTGTACCCATCTCTTCCAACTCAACCTCCCACACCCGTACCAGATGATCAAATTCAGACACCAAGAACTATATACCGGCGCAGAACTGGATGAAGCGGATCAGATACTCGACTACACACATCACAGTACAGGTGTGTATGCCATCGGAGAAAAGGGATAAGCCCGGTAGCTGAATGCTTACAGGTGTCATGTCAAGTAAAAAGTGTGAGAATAGGTAAAGATGCATGACATTGCTTGTAGTAGTTATATGCGGGAAACTCCTATGACCCAATACAGGATACCTCTATCCACATTGATTTATTTAGAGGTGCACAAACTCGAACTACAACAACGCGAGCGCGAGGGGCAGCTGAGGGCATTGCAACCCAGGATACGAAGGCGAGACAGGGCAAGGCACTTGGCAAGGCACAACACAAAGCGCATCTCCAGTCAGAAAAGGGTGGTATGTAACTTTGTTTTGAGTTAATGGTAATATATGGTTTAAGCGCCCTGTGCAACACACACACACACATATATATATATATATATATATACATATATATATATATATATATGTTCTAGTTCGTAAGGAAAAGGGTGGTATGTAACTTTGTTAGAGTTAATGGGAATAGATGGTTCAAGTGCACTGTGCATGTCCAGTCAGAAAAGGGTGTTATGTAACTTTGTTTGAGTTAATAGGGATAGATTGTTTAAGTACAATGTGTATGTTAGTCAGAAAAGAGTGGTATGTAACTATGTTTCGGATTGAAGTGTGTTCTGTACTGTGGCCACGCGACACTAGCGGACATGTTACTTAGCAAACGCCACCTATGTGGGTTTGCTTATACGCGATCATGTATCGCCACGGAAAAGTTAGGGCGCTCTGTATATTCGGATTTTGATATGCTACTACTTCCATAGACCAATAGAAAGTGCAGATAGCGAGTGACACCCGTGAATAGTTTGGGGCCAATCACCGATCTGTGTAGTTGGCAATTACATTCACTCACACTGATCTGCTACTGGTTGGTATTATTTATGATTTGCCCCGCAGGTGAATCGGTGGTGTCAAGCATCCGGTGTCAACCAAATGTTCCGGTCCATTGATGACTTCCTTGTCTGATTGCGTTGGCTGTCATGTGTGCTGTAGACCAACGAAGTGCGAGAGACTACGGAGGGCACAGAGCTTATGCAGGAAGCTTTGGATTCAGGTCGAATGAGGGGAGATGGTGATTCAATTGGCATAACAGTAAATGGGTAATTCAGACAACAATATTATATCAGCGGACAAATCTGTCCGATACCTCAATAACCGTACACGTGCGGGTACGCTATCAGTCTGAGACGATTAGCTGATGTATTCACGCTATACAAGTCTCTGATGCGCTGATATCTTCGCGTCTCAGTTGTTGACGTTCAGTATCTCACCTGTAGCCGCAGGTCCATCTCAGCCTTTTAATTGTCTGTCTATCTATAGTCATATAGCTACGCACTTAAATGTCCTGTGTTGTCCATTAACGCAATACTAGCAATCGCTAGCTAAACATAGCATGAACCACAATGAACCATAAATCAATTGGTAGATCTGAATGCCAGATATCAGCCAAGTGACACTGAAGAGCGATAACCTTCTCTCATTTGGAAAGGGGTGCAGTGTGTTGCTATGGACACCACTTTAGGACAATATGTGGCTGAAAACATTGAGATTCACGGAGTGTTGGCATGCAAGTTCTCAATTCTCGCAACTCATATCGACATATTCTCTCGGTTAGAAATATTGAGCAATACGCGCTCACCCCTCGTATACACGATGGAGGTTTATGCACCAGAGGCGTTCGTAGTTATCGTAAACGTCTTGTACTACGCCCTGGGGGTCCAATGCAGTTATGGTTAAATAATATTATCCGGATGTTCATGAAAAGACTATCCTATTTGTTGTTTTTGATAATTCTACTGAATGTTTTTCAAAAGCTATTGCAAGTGCTTTATTTTCACTTCTAAAAAAATGATTCACATGAATGGATAGAGTAATAACTATATATGTATGAATATGACAGAGACTCCTTGCAATGTCGATGTTTGCTTCTAGATAACATAATAGTACATTCGCTCGAACGAGGCCCCAACCTATAAGGACCGCAGTAAGAAGAACCATGCTCGCTGACGTATGAGAGTGTGCTCCAGGCTCTACACTGAATAAACACCTATGTATGAATACCAAGGCTTGTGTGTTTGCTGCGACTATCGCGCCAATAGTTTAACGACGTGGACAATGGGTCACCAATCCTCACCCAGCGAGAGCGGGGAAGACCACCGATGCAGACACAGCCCCTGCTACGTATATCACATCACTCCCGAGTGATGCAAAGAACTCTGCAGCCTCAGATGGGAGGCACTCACGTGGGATGAACTCGACCACAGAGTTGTCTATTATGATGCAATCTAGTCTCAGCCCGCTGAACACTTGCTTACGGAAATCTATATGAGCATGTAGCACCATTGCATATGGACTGGGTATGACTCCCTCCGATCCCTTAGCTGGTACACTAAACCGGCCAGGGGTTTGAAACACATAGTTACCTACCGAATAAACCACGGGCACCCCATCCACATACTCAAAGCCCTGGGCCGTATGAGACCCAGCACTCCCCACAATTAGGTCAAAACCGGCCCGTACCAAGAGCCTTGCCTGGTATCGTTGATAGTCGGTTATGGGTTTATAATTCTTACCCCAGTGGACATACGCGACTTTGAGCGAAGCGCCCGAGGCCACCAACTGTTGAATTCCTATACTTATGTCTTCGGGTTCAGGCTGCAGCACCCCCCACCCGATTTCAGCGTTACCCGCCCTTTTCCCACAGCAGAACAGGTCCGAAAACCCCACCACACCCACAGTCAGGTTACCATGCGAATGTGTACTTTCCTGATCCTGATTTTCGTACCGGTGCCCATATTTACCAGCATCTGCCTTATCAATGCCCGTATCATCGTTGCGTACTTTCTCACGGCTCCTGATTAATTGACTATCCCCGTGATTGAGGCTACTGGGTAGGTCTCGCCCAGCCACTTTCCATGTCTCGTTTTCATCTTTGACAACTCCTTCCATACTATCATCATTTTTCCTTAGAATTGTGGTTGTCAATAGCAGAGGTTTTGCAGCATCTTCGAGCGTCCTACCCAAACCAAACAATGGGAGTCCTACATCTTCTAATCGGGTCAAGGTATCGAATACTCCCATTGGGCCCCTGTCCAGGAAATGGTTATTGGCAAAGCCCACGGCATTTATACCGCTGCGCTTAATAGCCATGGCTGTTCTGGGTATCATATTATAGCTCCATGCATGATTGGAGTCGTAGTTTTTCCTACGTCGAGTGATGGGTGCCTCTAGGTTACCTATGACATAGTCGGACTGCCTCAGCAATCGCTTGACTTTGCTGAAGGGCTCGTCCACGTCCCACACAAACTCAGATTCCTCCTCTCCTTCGCCACGACTATCAGGATCATTTGTATCTGTGTCTGAGTTAGTCTTTTGTATAGTATTTTTTTTGTTACTTACTATACTCTTACTGTTTTCCGACTTGTCGCCCAGCGTCTTCAAGGCCTGTGCCGTCTCGTACTGTTTCTCCGCAAACCTCAACCCCGCATCGCCGAGCATGATATCACCTACGAAGGTCAATGTGTAGGAGTTAATTTCCGTTTCAACATTCGGTCTTAATTTGACCAACGGATCCTCGGCTGTTTTAGAGCTGATTTCATCCAGGCTGGCAGCTTCCAGGTTATGTTCGCCTACGTTGTTGGATGCAGTATCAGAGTGAAGTCGCGACCCTACACCAATCTGTGAGCTATGTTTCACGCTCACATCTTGTACAACCCCTGTCGCTTCTTTATTCCTCTCCAGACCTTGTCCCTGAACCGCATGATACTTCACAGCAGCTGCTCTATTTTCCACAGGCTCGACTACCTTGGTTACGTCTTCAGAAGATACTTCACTCCCTATAGCCCCCCTTACTTTGTCCGTTGGTGTCATATCATTTGATACATTGTCATTCTTTATATTTGCACTGTGTGCGTCCGTTTCTTTCGTCAGATCGCTATCAGTCTTGTTGCCTTGGAAACTGTACTCTATACGGTTATCATTTACATATGAATTATCTACAACTCTCACTCCTGCATGCCTATTACTTGATAAATTTTCCTCACGATCAGCATCTGACCTTCCATCAGAACCGGTCCACAAGTCATTTAACTTTTGTAGCTTACCATTTCCGAAACCACCACTATTTATAGATTGTTCATTCCTCCTATCCATGTTGCTGACATCAATATTATTATCGTCGTTGGCATTGAATACAACAGAGTTTGCGCCATCAGAACCCCGACGTTGTGAATGTAAAGTTTGTACATACTGTTGTGTGACACCACCGTATAAACAACCCAAAATAAGTACAGCGAACAACAGCGGCCGTCGCTTGAAAACACGTCCCATGCTTAAGTCGTACCCACACCCATTGCGCATCGTAATCTACAAATACGGTATACTCAAAGATGGTGTGTGATACACACTACAGTTTACAGAATCAGCCAAATAGCCAGAGCCTCCTGCATAGTAGCACAGTACATGGCATTATTTTCAACGTACACCTCGGGTGAACACCCGCCAGAAATCGAAAGTAGTGTCAAACTCAAATGTCATATGTCAACTGCCAAGTTTCTATCAATGAAATTATTTTTGTACAAATAACAGCGAATCGCCTTCCAGGTTACCACGGGAACATTATTTTCCTTCGAAAAAAAATTGCTACATACTTCCTAGCTCACCAGCAGGCGAAATATTCACTACATATCATATGATACTATGCTTTCAAAGACTACTGTTCAAGTCTCCATATTCTGCTTCTCATTATAAAATTACCTTAAAGCACGTGGCAAAACTTTAAAAACGTATGTAGGGATTAGAAAAAAATGGTTGTGGCATAGGTCGCTGAATAAGAAGGTTGAACTTAACTTCTGAGCGCACTGAAAATTCCCAACTTTTAATTCTTTGCACTTTGTGAATAAATATATATATATATATATACTGCGCACCACACGTGCCCGCCTAAATCTCTACGTATCTGTAACGAGGAGTTACCTGCCAGCGTAGATATATACTTGTAAATGTGTACACATGCCCTCGCGATTCTGCGCTTTTTGAGTTCAACAAAATGGTGATGACTGGTCGTTATATCTATTCAATCAGTTGAATTTGATTTCCAAGTATTTTTTATTTCTATACTTTATTAAATCTAGAGGGACCATACTACACACAAGTAAATGAACTATTCGTTCGATTTCTGCCACATTGTCGACGATAAAGAACAAGTGATGAGGTGAATCGGTGCTTCTAATTTATTAGTAATTGATTAGGGGATATCGACTGGAAATTAAACAGCGAGGCCAGAGTTGAGTACCATTAGACACGCAGCCTCTTCAAATCAACCGTTACTATTCAGAGTTGTATCCTAAAGTGCGTCTATAGTCCAATATACACTCAAGGATAACGAGCGATCCTCTATGTGTTCTGTAGTTGTGGAGTGTCTTGTCTTTCACCGTCGCACCTCGCTTCTGCTACTATCAAAATACAGCACAACTTCTAAGATAGGATTCACTCCCTGTGTACCCGGCAGCACACCCGTCATCTACCAGTATGCATGTGTACAGCTGTATAATTATATAGGTTCCGCAGGTACAAAGTGGTGACCAAACACTCTCGTTATGACTCCCAGGGATACATCGCATCTTTGCCACGTTTGCTGTTTGTGAAGTGCATGAACCCAAACTCTTTGGATTTGACTTGTAAACGGGAACTCCGCCGCGAGTCTTCTTCCCTACGGGCGTCCTGTGGGTATGAAATAATTTCTAACATCAGAAATCAATCATAGGTAGATGTCACTCGGAAATATGATCCTTGTGTGTTTGAAAGATCTTCGAACAACAAAAAGCACATGGTTCGAGGTGTCACTCGGAAATATAATAGGTCCTTCTGAGTACGAAATAACTGCTAATGATAAGAACCACAGACCACAGGTTTTAAAAAGTCTCCCCGTAGGTGTTCCCATTCGGATTATGCCTTGCCCATACGCAAGGTAATTGGAGTCCTGCTGGGTGCCCCGTCCACTTGTAGCGCAAGGTAATTGATATAACAGTGTGTGCATGCGCGCTTGCAAAACTTGGGACTTCTGTCTCAATCTTGGGTGTATTCCGATTTTCTTTTGTGTCTCGGTTTATGGGAGCAACAAGCGATTCGCACGAGCCTTCTATTCAACAAAGGCGACCCCCGCCAACTTATTATGGCGCTAAAAGTTGTATACACAAGCAAAACTCTAAAACAACAACAAACCGTCACTTATACCAATATATATCATCAGTAATATATCTTGAAACGTTTATTCATCATCGAGAAAACATCAATGAAAAGTACACTCCCATACCTCCATACGTTTCTATATACAGTATGCATATCGTCAACCGTAAATCTCACAATATTCCGATAATGCAGATACTCACAAACCACAAGTACACCCACACACACCTCTATGCGTTTCTTGATATTGCTACACAGGCGGTTGAAGCAAGCGTTCAGTGACGAGCGCAAGTGGCACTCGCGATGGCCTTTTATGTTGAGGTGATTGAGTAGTTGCACCACCTATATAGTAGTCAGAGCGATCAGGCTTTAGTATGTACGGTTGCTAGTGAATAGAAGCTCGTGTGATGTTGAGGTGATTGAGTAGTTGCACCACCTATGTAGTAGTCAGAGCGATCAGGCTTTAGCATGTACGGTTGCTGTGAATAGAAGCTCGTGTGTGCATCCGTAAATGTTGTGAGCGTGGGCGTATAAATATGCTTGTGTGCTTATATCTTGATATCGCGCAGAGAGTCCCGGGTGCGCGCGTTTGACATCGCACGTGCCTGGAGTTTAGTATGTACGCAACAAATATAGGTGAGGTCGCGCACTTTACGACATCTTCGCACTCATCGAATTACTCCCAGTCTGTCTTATTTCGTCACACTCGGTTGACTTATTTCGTCATATATTTACCTCTGGGATGGTGTCTAAATAGCCCCACTTGCCGCCATCCACTTGTATGTGTATGCGGGTATGGTCTATCAGCCAATACTTCCGGTAGTCTCGGTCTTGCCCCAAAATCTTATCGCGGAATGCGCCCAATCTACGCGCCTCAAAGTAGTATTTTTCGTCCTGTCGTATTTCATTGTATTAGTTTATCTGAGAAGGCGACAGGCAATCCGACCATTGATCTTACATGTGCATACAGTGGTGCAGCTTTAAATCATTGGTACACGAATATATGCCTCACATCATTTGTTATTCATTCGACAAATTGGGTTTATAGAATACAATCTACGAGGGAAACAGTTCGGCATGTGGCCATCCAACTCAGAAGCCAAAAATACAGGCAATATGTTCATGTAGTGTACATGCATGTATATACTGAAAATAGTTTCTTTCGTGACCCAAATGTTCATACTGCACTTAACTGTATATAGTATCGGAAAGCTCATCTATCGATTCGCAAACGTATGCACAATATATATTTGTTATATGTATGTGTATGCGTACACATACATACTAACTCTGCTATATACACACTCCATGATGGAGCTGTAAACAGTCAGAAGTCGCAAAGCTCCATCGAACAACAAAACTGGACGTTGTATCGAATATGCCACAGTGACGACCGCGTGCACACTTCGATGGCATTCAAGGCCAAAGCCCAGACCAGACTCATCTATACATGAAGTAGGTATACAAAACCAAAATAAAAGAACAGCCTGACAAACAATACAATGGTAGTGACTCAAATGTATAGGAATTACCTTTCGTTCTCGCTCAGCTTGCCTTTGCTCTTTTTCTTTCCGTATCTGTATGGTGTCAAAATACATGTTTAGTCATGAGATGAATTACAAATGGACACACCTGTCTCCAAAACATTTGTACAGCCGATAAGCCCAAGTGAACAGACCATATCACCATTTTACCACCCATGCGCGTGGATAAAGTCGGGTACGAGTAAAACCCTATACTAGCGCTCTTAGCTATGTATTCAGAACGTACCTATAACACACGGAAGCTTCACGCACTAATTAAACCAGCCCGGAAGCCTGAACAGGCGCCACCACTTATTCATTGGCCTATCACAGTGCTCCTGTGATTCGCTAGCGCTCATAGACTTTGAGATGCTATTCGCAAGAAAAGAAAAACTGCATTGGAACGCAACCATGACACACGTTTGCCGTGCAGTCACACACTTACCGTTCTCCGACAGTGTGTAGAATTTGATCAGGCCTCCATTGCATGGCTATTGTCTGTTAACACACCTTGATGCACGTGTATCAGAGCACTTACGACACATATATACGCATAATAGACATACCTGAGCTTGTTCTGTACGCTCCTTTTGTTGTATGGCCCTAATCTCGGCCTGTTTCTCGGCCTCTTTGCGTTTCCTCGCCTCCTCCATCTGTATTTAGTGTCAGATGATTCATAGATTGAGAATATGCACATAATCAACATCACGCGATGGTGTTGCATACACACAACCACTCTAACTGTCCATTTCAGATAACAGAAACGCCTTAGACATGCTTCGTCTGTATCAATACACATTGATGCCCCATTGGATTTACATACCTCACTCATGATTTTTTTACAGAAGTATTCTAATTCCTTAAGTCTATTAGTAGCTTATCCACTCATCATAGCTACCCTTCCCAATATAACCTTGTATATATATATAAATATAAATACACGCAAACTCTC